AAAAAAACCTCGTGGTATAGTTGTAGATAAATTGTCTTCACCTTCTATAATTTAAACTTTTGCAGAATTTGGCGGCGGCGGTGGACGAAGAAATGATAATGTATAACAATTTTTTTATTTTTATTTTGTAAAATTGATCGTATGTTTTTATTTAGGTATCTGATGATATCTTTGATCAACGTAAGTATAGAGAAATGATGAAAAGAAAATGATAACTTGAATTATTTATATAAGCTGCTGGTCGTGATGGTGCACCAACCGTGGAACGTTATGTTCCACCACCTCCACCTACTAGTGAAGCTGATATATTTGGTGAAGCTGCAACAAAAGGTGAAAATTTTGGTAAATATCATCGTACACAAACACGTTGTACACCTGAAGGAAGAGTAAAAGCAATTGAATTATATGAAGAAGCAAATCTTGGTACACAAGTTTTATCTAATATTCGTCGTGCTCATTTTGAAGAACCAACACCAATTCAACGATATGCATTACCTTGTATTCGACAACAAGATGATTTAATGGCTTGTGCTCAAACTGGTTCTGGTAAAACGGTATGTTATTATTTTAAATTCATTAATTAATTATATATAGATGGTTGATTTAGGCTGCTTTTCTCTTACCAATCATTTCAAATTTATTGGAATATCATGCTGATGAATTAGCAGAAAGATTTCATCCACCAGCACCTTTTTGTCTTATTGTTTCACCGACTCGTGAACTTGCTCTACAAACAGAACGTGAAGCAAGAAAATTTGCTTTTCAAACACCTGTAATACCATGTAAGTTTTTAAGAAAATACATCATAAATCAATTTTTAATAAAATTATTTTCTTCTAATTAGGTTCTGCTGTTGGTGGTCATGATATGTTTACAGTTACTGATCGTCTTCGAGAAGGTTGTCATATTCTTTCAGCAACAACAGGTCGTCTTAAGGATATGGTTGAAAAAGGCCGAGTAAAATCTAATCGAATTTCTAAGATAAACATTATAAATATTTATTTTAGATTTCATTGAAAAAAGTGAAATATTTTGTTCTTGATGAAGCTGATCGGTATGTCTAAAAGGTTGAAGAGGATCATTACCTATCTTTATCTCTATTATTTCAAAGAATGTTGGATACTGGTTTTGAACCTGACATTCGTAAATTAGAAGATCTTGGTTTAGCACAAAAAGGAGAACGTGTAACATCAATGTTTTCTGCAACATTTCCTGATGAAGTTCAACGACTTGCTAAACATTTTCTACGAGATAATTATGTTTTTCTTGCTGTTGGTATACTTGGTGGTGCCAATGAAGATATTTCTCAAACAATTGAACTCGTACCACAATCGAATAAAAAAGATCGACTTTTTCAACTACTTGAAGAAAATTTAAGTATGAAAAACAACGACTTTTTTTTTGTTTTTTTATTGAATTGAGTTTTTATTTAAGAATCTGAACGTTGTTTAATCTTTGTTGAAACAAAACGATCAGCTGATTATATTGGTGCTTTACTTTCACAACGACAATTTATGAGTACAACAATGCATGGAGATCGAACACAACGACAACGTTTTGAAGCCGTACAACAATTTACAAATGGCAAATGTCCAATTCTTGTTGCAACATCTGTTGCTGCACGTGGTTTAGATTTTCCTTTGATTGGTTATGTAGTTAATTATGATTTACCAGATACAAGTGATTTTTATATTCATCGTATTGGACGAACAGGTATATGTTCAAATAGATAATTGATTGTTACGAAATTGATCATATTTTGCATTTAGGTCGTGCCGGTCATTTGGGTAAATCAATTTCATTTTTTGATCCAGATCGAGAATCAGATCGAACTATTGCACCAGAACTTGTTCAAAAATTAAGCGAGGTAACAATTTCATATATTAATCGACTTTAAACATATATTTTATTATTTTAGGCTGGTCAAGACGTACCCGAATTTCTTAAACAACATATGCCCAATACTAGTGGACTTAAAAGTGGTTTTGTTGGAAGAAATGCTGATGTAAATTTAGATGATACTGTTTTTATTTTATTTATTTTTTTTCAAATTTCATTTCTAGATGCGTTCCGGTGGATTTAATCATAGTCAAACAGTTAGTACAAGTGGTGGTACAGCATCAGCTGGTGCTGCAGAAGATTGGGATTAAATGGATATAGAGATCTTTTTGTGATTTAGTTTATTTTATACAACTTCATTTATTGTTTTTTTTTGCTGTATATAGTCATAAATTTCAAGGATACATATATGTATAAGATCAGATACTGATAGTAACATTTTGTTTGTTTTGTTTTTTTTTGTGAATCATATATCTAGGTGAAATTCTCAGATGCCTTTTTTGTTTTCTTGAAAAAAATAAGTATATATACAGTTGTTAAAGATAGGAATGATTTTTATTATAGATTTTATAAGACAAAAAACAAAACAAAATGGAAAGAGATGATGATCCATGTAAATTATTTGTTGGGTAAATATAAGAATATTTGGGTTTTTTTTCAGTTTTTATGATTATATTTTTATAATAGAGGTTTAACACGATCAACAACAACTGAAATACTTCATCAATATTTTCAAAAATTTGGTGAATTAACCGATTGTATTGTAATAAAAAATCCAACAACAAAACTTTCTCGTTGTTTTGGTTTTGTACAATTTACAACACCACAAATAGCTGATCATGTTGTTGAATCACGTCCTCATATTATTGATGGCAAAGAAATAGATGTTAAACATGCATCAGCTGAAAGTCATGAAAGACATCAACTACAACTTGCAGCAGCAGCAGCAGCTTCAGCAGCCGCCGCCGTAGCAGCAGCAACAATGACACATGAACGAAATCGTGAATTATCACCAGATAGACAAAAAAAACGTTCAAGATGGGAAATGCAACAATCAGATGATTCATATCGAAATTTAATATTACCACATGATATGATTACATTAAAGTCAAATACTCATATAGCTTTTATTCAACGTGATATGATAACGTATCCAATACCTTTAAAATATTTACGAGAAGATAATCATTCACTATCGTCAAATAACAATTCGTATTATTCACAACAATCTCGTCATCAACATAATAATAATTTTAATAATAGAATGTATCAAACTTAAAACTAGATAATATTAAATATATATATATATATATATATTCTTTGTTTTTCTTATGTTGTATAAAGTCAACAGAAAAAAAAATATATAAAATTTGTTTATTTTGATTTGGTACCTTCACCAGGTTGACGAAGACTTTTGTCATATTTTTTTGGTTGAAATCGAAAATATTCTTCAGCATAAGCAGAAATTTCTGATCGAGTCATGGGGAAATTGAGACGTTTATCAGTACGATCGATTTTCAACTAGATAAAACAAAATATCGAATTAATTTTTTTTTGAAAAGAAGATAAATATAACATACTAATGGTTCATGAAACCATCCAATTTCTTGACTTGTTGTTTGTGGTTCTCGATATTTTTTTTCCGGTTCGAGATTTGCTCTATGTATAATATCAATAAATGAGCCTAAAATAATACGAATTGATACTATATGGGTGAATTTCAAAGAGTTTTCTTACTATCTTGGCCTGAACCTTCATCTGGATAGACATTTGGTTTCGGTGTAAGTGCTTCAGCTAAAATAATAAATGTCAATTCAATCGATATAGATCATATTTATTAATTACATTTCTTAAATGGATTCACTGAATAATTAGTAAATAATTTTTGTTCAGCCATTTCTTTACGTATTGTTTCAACAAGAATTGCTTCTTGATGAACTTGATTTTTTGGTTCTCGACCTTTTTTAGCATCTTTTTTAGCCGGTTCAGCCTTAAATACGCATAATAATTATTTTATAAAATTACAGAAAAATATTTTTACCATGAAGACAGATGATTACAGTTTTAAATGAACCAAAATAAAAATCCTTTTAATAGTAATATGTGTATTATTTTTATCTACCTTCACACATCAATATAAAATGATTGTTGCTATGAAACAGCCGCTGTTGAAAAAACAATTAAACGATAGAGTGTGACACCGTGTATTTTATTTCAGGCAATGTATAAATTGTATATTCGAAATATATCTCGAAGTTTCAATTGTATGACTAGTTGATTATGTTTGAATAATAATAAAATCTATATGCTTTAATTCTTATATGGTTTAACGCCTTAGTTTTAAAAGACTTACTTCCTCAACTGTACCTTTATTATCGGCAGGGGTGGCGCGAGTCAGCCAACATTGGGTGGGTGCAGCGAAGTATTTTGAGTTTTCGGGGAGTGTAGCATCATCTTTGGTAAAAGACCCAAGAAAATTTGCTGATTTTTTTGAGCAAAAAATAGAAATTTTCGAAGATTGGGGGAGTGTTCACCCCCTCCCCCCGGTCGCGCCACTCCTGATTATCGCCTTCGCCATTCTATTTTCTTGCCAGCAGCTTTTCGTTTTAGACTAGACCTGATTTCATGAATAAGTCGTAAAAATGAAAATACTTAATAACAACGATATTGTTGATTATCTTATAATGTAATCACTTTACTCAACGGTTTTAAAGATAGGTGAAAAGAACATCAAAAGAAGCACTTGCTAAGTCAGATTCTACGAGATTTACTATTGTAAGTGCATAACTGTTGACATTAGTCACCTATATTACATCTCAAAAAATCACGTCTATAGATTCATTAGAAACACTTTTAGGAATTCAATAGAATCCAAACATAACATAGTACTCTATGCATGTTGAATTCAATTATTTTGATGAGAACCATATGTGATAACTTTTCACCTTGCTTTGAATATAATTATATATGTACTTTTAGTAAGAAATTCAGAAAAATATTTTTAATTACAATTATTTTCTTTCTCACTTATCTACTTTTTTTGAGTATTTTATTTTTTCAGTAAAAATAACAAATATAATAAGAAACTATATTCAAATTATACTCATTTCAAACACAAGAATTTTATTCCACTAATATATATATATATGTAAAAAATAAAATATTAACACTCAACAGATTGCTTTCATTAATTAATAATTTCTATTTTGTATTTACTACTGAAAAATCATGTAAAATCTTAAAGCATTACATTCTTTATTGTCATGTTATTTTCAATGTACTTGTTCATTATCATATGTCACAATAATTAAACGAAGAAATACTAGATTAAGAAAAAGGAAATGAAATTTTTATCATACACTTTATTGAACAAAAGGGATATAGTCCTTTCTATATTAATAAATAATTGTAAGTTATGCATATACATAGATATATATGATAATAAGTCATTTTTCGCCTACACATTGTTCGTTTGAAACATCTGCATTTTGTTTTTTGACATTTCTCAGATCGTATGATCTCACTCTCTAATTATGTGTTTATTCCCAAGAGGAATCAATTACTTCGATTGTTATCTTTTACATCATCTTTAAATATTCCAACACTAGTTTTTCTTTTCTATCGATATCGAAAGAAAATATGTTTGCAAATAAAAAAATATTTTTACAATTCATTTGATAGAGTTGATTTATCCGGGGAATAAAATATCCTTTGGAAAATACTCAAGGATATATTATATAGTATGAATATATGTCATGAAAATGATTAATTCCTTTTTTTCTTCTCCTTTTGTTTTTTCACTAACAACGATAATATGCAATGAAGACAGTAAAAACAACAACCTTTTGAATTCCAAAAGCAGGAAATTTATATTATTTATTCCTTTTGTTTTCTTGCAATGAATGATTATTATAAAATAATAATCTTCTATATGGAGAGAGAAAAAAAAATATTTTCTTTTAGATCTATAAGTGATAAAACAATAAATATAATTCTATATTCTGTTAATTCAGTTATTTAATATTAAACACGATATAGAAAATTAGAAATTAATAATATTATGCTTCTATTAACGGGGTTATATCATATACATATATATATATTTTTTTTCAACAATAATTATGTTTTTCTGTTATTATTATTTTTATCGGCATGATCTAGCTGATCGATTCCACCTCATATAATACGAAGAATTAGCTAGCATGTTCGGTATTATATTAGTACGTGTTTTTTCTATTTCTTGATGGTGAATGGCGGTTTTTGCTTTTTCCTCTTATCTGTTTAGCCGTCTCTAACAACGATGCATGACATGATGTCTACAATCCTTTTTTTTCTTCTTCATATAGTATCGCTCGTGGAAAATAGCATTGCATCTAAAAAGAAATGCTTTTTTCTATGACCTATCATCGTTTTTTTTCTATTCTCCTCGTTCTTTTTATGAAGAAAAAAAAACGTTCAACAAGGCATTGTATTCAAGTTTGTCAACAATCAACTACAAGCAAATCATAGATTAAAGAAATTTAAAAAACAAAAAATGGTTATTTTTATGCCATATTATCGACAACATGGTCAACTATTTCAACCACATACTCGTACTCAACCACCATCAAATGGTTCAAATAATAATACAACAACAACAACAACAGCAGCAACCATTCGAATTAATCGTTGTAAATTTATATCGAATATGTTTTGTCGTTTTATATTTTCTCTTCTTTTACTTACAATATCACTTTTCTTATTTCGAATATCCGTTGAAAATGCATCAGATCAAAAGGAAGGATCAAATATAATAGCTGCTATTCTATTAACTATTTCAATTGTTTCATTTATACGAACATGTCAAAAATTAAGACGATATTTTATTATATTAGATACAAGACGTCGACTTATACAAGTATAATAATAAATAATCATGATATTTTTCACTAAATTTTGTTTCTATTTAGAGGTTACGTTATAGACAACTAGCATATGATTTAGAATTAGCATTAAATAATATTGAAAATCCAAAGTACGTAGTTATTCTTTTTTTCTTCCTTTTGATTTATTAATAATTTATTTCTTATAGTTCTTTGAGAAATGTCAATACTGATTTACCGTCATATAAAGAATTATTTCCTTCTCATCCAAATTTACATAATAGTAGTAATGATCCATCTTCATCATTACCACCACCATCGTATGATGATTTTGTTAAAAATTTTGTTATTCGTCATCCAACTACAAATTTTCCACTATCATCATTACCACCACATTCAGTTTCATTAACAAGTTTATCATCTTCTTCTCAATCACAAACAAATCCAACACGATGTATTTGGCTTACTGATCGAACACGAAGACCTCTATGTATTCGTGGTACTGTGACATATGTATAGCGAGGAAAAAAAATATAAAATATTTTTTGTATGCCTATATATATATATATATTTATTTGAAAATTTTGAACAAAAAAGAATATAGATCTATATAATTTTTGATAATAAATTCATTTGTTTCTACACCATATTTTGTGCTCGTCGCTCTTGACATTCACGATCATCGATATCTGGTCGATTTTCTATTTTATTTCGATCATTGTTTAATATTTTTGATTTAGGATCTTGATAAGGTGGTGTTTTCAGGTCACTTATATCCCATACTTTTAATGAACCATCAACTGAACCACTAAATAATCGATCATCGACGATCTAAAACGAAACAAAACGAAATTTTCATTTCTTATTAAACAAATGATATTTTGATAAACCTGAATACAATTAATAGCAAGTGCATGTGATTTAAAATTACGTTTAATTACACCTGAACGAGCTTCAAAACATCGTACTATAGCATCACCACAACCAGTAAAAACTATATCAAATGATTCTAGCAAAAAATCTTTAATAAAAATTAATCATACCAAGATCATTTTCAAGTTGAATACAAGAAACCGAATGATGATGTCCTTTATATATTCGTATACAATCACCCACATCAATAATCCAACAACGTACAGTATGATCAGCACTAATTGAATAGAGTAATTTATTTGCAACCTAAATAATACAAGATATTATTATATTTCAATAGATTTTTCTATTTTACAAGAATATTAATAATTGCTGCTGTATGTTGATCATAGATACGTAATTCATTTCCACGATATATATCCCATACACGAATTGTATTATCACCTGAACCAGTAAATAGAATTTTTCCGTGGACATCTGTTGCCATACAAAGTACAGCTCCAATATGACCTTCAAATGTTTTCAAACATTCACCAGTTTTAAATGACCATGTTTTAGCTGTTGTATCTTGTGAACCAGTTATAAGAATATCTTTTGTATAAATATGCATTTCTTCTTCAAAAGTATTTTCTTCTTCAGCATCATGATTTGCAGGAATGAATAATAATGGTAAAATACCATGATGATGACCGCGAAATATACGTATACAATTACCTGTAAGAAAATCCCAACAACGTGCTGTTCGATCATATGATGATGAAAAGAGAAAATTTCCTAAAAGAAAATATTTTTACAATAGATGATTATTAATATAAATTCTAGTTATTCAAAATAAATGCGCTTGATTTTACGATGACTTCTCATGATAAAAGTGGTAATTCCCTGAAGAAAAACAAATATATCGTACAAATCATTGCATGTTTTCATTCGATTTAACATGATGAATAATCATTAAATAAATTCTTTTCCAATAGAAAAAATATTTTGAAGAAATTTTATTTACCAGTATGAGCAATTCGATTGACTAGTGATGTATGACCAGTACAAATAAACATACATTGTCCATTGAGCATATCCCATTTTCTAATTGTTTGATCTGCGCTTGCGCTAATTAAATAATTTTCATAGATAATAATTTGTGTTATATAATCTGCATGACCAGCAAGTACATTCAAATATTCGACAGATTCTGTTTTTGCACTCCACAAACGTATAGTATTATCATCCGATCCTGTGGCAAGAACACTACCATCACTACTTAATGCCATACAATTAATTCCACTTTCATGATTTTCTAATGTTTGAAGAAGCCAATTTTGATTTCGTCCAGTTCGACGTTTTGATGCGGCACTGCCCATATTATTAAAAATAAACGGGCTTAATTCTAAAGAAAAAACTACACTATTGAATTGCTGTAAGAAACAAAACCACTTCCAATATACTTTTTTTTTCTTCTTTTTCGCAATTCTGAAGTGTTTTGTGGTGCCATTCCTACGATCATGAATTAAGCACAAAAATCTCAAGAGACAACAAAGAGCACGAGTAATATAAATTACATGAACACCTGTTTTCTTTTTTCTCTTCTTGTTATGTTGATCATTGAAATCTCATTTTCTTTTGTCTTCAATTGAGTCTAATAATATATATATATATACAAAATTAATTTTATAATATCTAAAATTAGTTTTCTTTTCAAAAAGATAGATAGATATTCCATAGACAAAGAAAATCCTTGAATTAGTATTTGATGGCTTTGCAATTGTATAGAATAACAATGAATGTTTGTACTTTAAATCTATACGTATTTATATACAAATGACAAAAACATTATGAATAAATCTTTTCTTCCTCCTCTTCTTCTTCTTCATTTTTTCTTCTCTATCTTGATTTGGCTTTGATGCTAATCCCACTCACACATACAAATCACAAGTTCATGTATGTTTTTTTTTTGTCAAATAAACGAAGGTTTCAGGTATGTAATATATCAAATTGACTACAAAATGATTTTTATTTCTTTGAACAAAAAAATTCCTTTTTTTTCGTTATATATTCATGATTCTATCAATGTATTAGAAGTAGTCGTAAAAGTCTAAAATAATTTACATCAGTGATGTAACACATCCGATAGGTCCCATATGGTAAACTGTTCATTTGTCATCATCGTTTTTGTAAAATATGCATATACATAAAAGTTTAATGAAATAACATCACCTTCTCTCTTTTTATGTGCCCGCCTTGTTCTTTTCTTCCATCATTCTCATCAATCTACTCTCAGCTTCTCCTTTCGTTCATATATATGTTAGTTTACAGAGAAAAATTTTAATCACTTTTTTCTTCTTTTGCGAATATATATATGAAGAAACTATAGAACATTAATTTATGCTTGAAAGACATTCTTTACTGTATATTCCTTGAATTTTCGATTATGATTATTCTGCTTACATTGAGTGACCTGAACAAAGATATATATTCATCTCTTTATGTACAAAGAATAAACACTTCATGCACTATCCTATCGATCATGAGAGGAAGAAAGAGAAGAGAAGACAGAGAGAGAGAGAGAGAGCAAGAAAAAAAGAATGTTGTCCCTTGCTCATTGAATTTTGATAGTCCATTCGGTTCTAACCTGCTCAACAATATATGCAAGTGAATATAAAGAAAGAAAAGGTAGGCGTGCGTGATTCGACTTCAGTCTTACATTGTTTTTTCTTCATACAAATATAAAAATACTGATGATGACGTTAGTTATTTGCAAAAATAAAGATGAAACATTCTTAGATAATAATAACATCGATATGAACTGCCTACGCTTTCTCATTCCATTTTTTTATATATGCAAGATGTCTGTAGTATATATATACGTATGTATATATAAAAATGTCAAATAAGTCCAGTAAGAGTGAGTTATGCTATTTACAAACGGTTGATTGTCTTCATCTTCTTCATCGTTTTTTTTTCGCTTACTTTCAATGTTGTGCTCTCTTTGACCTACAACAGATGTACAAATACATGCTTCAAAACACGTCAATGTTCTATCATTATGAAAGTATGATACCATTTATAGTAGATCGATCTACAGTTACTATAGAATTTTATAGATGAAGTGTAAACATGTCTCAATTGCTAGCTCTTTCTATTGTAAAAATAAAAACACTTCATCAGAGTAATTTAACGATATATACGTAAGTACAGAAATAGTTGAACGCATTGCACACGAAAAAGGCGATGATCGATTCTATAACAAAATATATATTTTCATTTTTTTTTATTAATTTTGACTATGCTAATAAAAATAATATGAAATATGATAGTAGTGTCGTATTTTTTTATATTGATAGAAGAGACTGGTAGTTTTTTTTCTCTCTATATTGTTAACATATGAATCAAACGATTTTTTTTAGGTGCGTGGGTATTATATATATTTACGATATCTTTTTTTCTTTGTCTATGATTAATAAAGCTTACAGAAAAAAATAAAATAAGCCGTATACATTATTCGAGAAGAAGTCTACGGTATATAAAAACGGACATTATATTCAATATTTCATCATCATTTTCCTTTGGTGTGGAGTACAGGTGAACCAGAAAACTTTTTTAATAATTCAACTTTTTATTCTTTTTCGACAAAAAAACGGATAAGTGCCAAGTGCGTTTCTTCTCAAAAGATATGTTTCATTCTTTTTTTTTAGTGCCGAGGCTCTTGCTGGTATGTGTATACATTAGAAACTCGGATATTTATATCGATGAGAACGTGATTCTTTTCTTTTTCCCTTTTCTTTTTCGATGCCTTTAACAAAAAAGAAAAATGATGCACTTCATTTCATGGTAAAATAAAAGTCGATGAGTGTGCATCTTCTCATAGTGACTCATGTATAGATATATATATATACTCTTCGCGCAATTACTATTATATTAACGTATAGATTTTATTTTTTAGACTATTAAGATAACTTTAGAGAATATTATTTGAAAATGGGTCGTGGAGGTATGAGTTGTGAAATGAAAACAATACGTTGTATTATGGTATTGTTCAATATTATCTTCTTTGTAAGTAATCGTTTGTATTTAATTTGTATAGTTAAAATGTATGTTTATTTAGTTGATTGGTGCTTTACTTCTTGCACTTGGCATATATGTTATGGTTGATCCAAGATTTCAAAAACTAAAAGAATTTTTACCACTTAATACAAGTATGTTTATTAAGAATAAAAACAAATAAATAAATGTTCATTTTATTTCATTCAAAAAGATCCTGGAATTGAAAAAGGTTTATCATATCTTGAAATGATGGCAATTGTTATTATTGTTTTGGGTTCAATTCTATTAATCATTGGATTTCTTGGATGTTGTGGTGCAATGAAACAAGTAAAATTATTTCTAACATGTGTAAGTTCAAATTAGTTTTATCTCTAAATGCAATAAAAAAATTCAATTTATTTAGTATGCAATTATTGTTGGACTTATTATAGTATTTGAAATAGCAATTACAATCTATTTTATTGTATTTCAATCAAATTTTAAAGAGAAATTTGTACCGAAATTACAAGATTCAATTAAAAATACATATGAAGGACCACTTGGTTTAATGGGTAGCGATGGACCAAAACCAACACCAGTTTCATTAGCTTGGGATTTTATTATGTACAATGTAAATGATATAAATTCTTTTTTTTTTGTTTTAAAAAATAATTTTTTTTGTAGTTTAAATGTTGTGGTGTTGAAGGTAAGTCTGATTTTGATGGAACAATAAAATGGAATCGTACAAATCCATGGGGTACTCCATCATTACCTGAAACTATGGCATTTCGTTATCCATTAACATGTTGTCCACTTCAAAATGTTCAACCAGATTGGAATAATTTACCTGTTGATCAACTAAAAGATGTTGCTTATTGTGCTGCTTCAGGAAAGGATGTCTATGAAACAGTAAGTTCATTCATTATAGATTAAAAATAAAATAAAAACTTAAATTCATCTCAAGGGTTGTTATCAAAAGCTAGTAGATTTACTTAATTCTACTAGAACTTGGGTTATTGTCATTGCTGTTATTATTTTAGTTATTGAAGTAATTATTATCATTTATGAAGATATATATATTTTATATATTTATTTTTAGTTACTTACTTTTATTTTTACATTGGCTTTATGTTGTCGTCATAAGAAAGATACGATATATTATTCATCATAAATACATATATATTGATACATTCAATAAGACAAGGAAAGAAAACAGTGTGGTTATTATCTGATTTATTTCGAAAGACATCTATTTTTTGTTGATCTTTTTTCTTTTTTGCTCGTTTCAGTTTCCCATATGAATGAATGTAATTCAGATATATTTTTAATGTGTGAATGTGTACTAAGAAATCACTAGAAATGTTAGTTGATTTCTTTTTTTCTTGTTGGCTATTATAATTCATCGAAAAAATTTATCAACTAATCATTTTTTTTCTTGTTTTTTTTCTACTAGCTATTGTACATTGTTATTTAAGTTGTTTTTTTTCTAGTTGCCTTATGTTCTACCGAAAAACAGAAATGAGCTTGTTTATATTCTTTATTTCCATTTTCTTTTTGGCATGATTTTTGAAAAATGAATGAATAAACGAATGAAAAACGTACTTTTAATGAGAAATCATTCGATAAAAAGAGTAACTGTTAGTTGTTAGGAAAGATTAGGATTTTTTCGCAGTTATAAAACAATTCAAATATTAATAGAAAGTATTAAGTCATATTTACTAACATCAAAAATAAATTTGAAAACATGTTTTTGAAGTACTTCAGTGTTGATTACGATATTGACGTTTAATATTAGTAAAATATATGCTAATCGTGATGATTAAAATGAAAAATAATGTTTTGATTGAAACTTAAGTTGACAAACAATATAAGATTAATATTTTATCAAGAGCAAGCAGTTTATATTCTTTTCGTTCTTATCTGAAATCAGAATTTTTGAAGTCTTTTTCTTATTATTTGTGAAATTATTATAAAGGTGTACATATTTCATACAGTTTAACGCGCATAAGCTACAGACTGAAAATTTGTACAATACTTATAAAAGTTTCTAAAATGTAATCAAACGTTTACTTGTACGTTCGTCTGATTAAAATCATATTAATAAAACAAGATTTGAAAAACAAAGTTAATATCATCAGTATATTTTACTCAGTGTGGGACCTAAAACTAGGGTAGTTATAACTCGGGTTATAACTTTTTGGGTTATAACCGATCAACTTTTTGGCCAAAAAGTTAATTGAGTTATAACTATCAACCGTAGTTGTAAGTTATAACTACGGTTGATAGTTATAACTCTGGTTGAAAGTTATAAGTTATAACTTTAACCAGAGTTATAACTATCAACCACAGTTATAACCATCAAACGCATCAGTTTTGTCAATCTTACTAGCATTTAGAGACAAAATTGATGCAGATGATAGTTATAACTACAGTTGATGGTTATAACTCAGGTTGAAGGTCATAACTGCGGTTGATAGTTATAACTCTAGTTATAACTGTTTTAACTTTTTACTGATTTTGTCAACTACTAACTTTTTAAAAAATAATTTTAACTCCCACACTGACGTGTAATTATGGCTATCTTGAACTGACTTTGAACTGAAATAGTATGAATAATTAATCTTCAGTGCTGAAAAGGCACATAGCTTTTGTTTCTTCTTCTTTATTATAAGAATAATATATCTATATGATCACTATATATCGCCAAGGATTTTAAGAATTGTTCAATTGTTTTGCTGGTCGCTTTTAAAAAAGCATAGTTTCAAAAAAAAATATACATTAAGAAAAAAGAAGAAAGACAGGAGAACATTACTGATCGATTTTTCACATGATTAAAGGATTTAGGAGGTTCCCATTTGACAAAAGTTGCTAGTTATAACTACGGTTGATAGTTATAACTCTGGTTGAAGGTTATAACTACGGTTGATAGTTATAACTCTAGTTATAACTGTTTTAACTTTTTGCCAATTTTGTCAACTATCAACTTTTTGAAAAATAGTTTTAGGTCCCACACTGATTTTACTAGTCTTTGAAAAAGAGAGTATGATCTTGAAATATTATTAAGTTTGTTCTGCATTCTCAGTTACTCAGCTGACATATAAAACCAATATTATTTGTCTTTCTTACGAGTTTAAAAGCGTGAATAATTACGAAATTTCGCTTTTTTTTTCATTTTTGTCAAAATGATGAATGAAATTTTCTATGAAATTTTGAAAAAAAGATTAAAATGAACTAATCGATTTATAGAAAACAATATTCTTAATCGTTACAGAATGGGAAAAGTTAGATTTCATAGTTGAAATTATCGTAAAAATGGTACTAAATTGTTTCTCATAGAAAAAGAGAAAAACGGTGAAATTCCGTAACGCTCAGTCTTTTAAGTCATCTTATTCAAAACAAATGTTTTAAGAGCTTGTGAAAAGCTGAACAATCTGTGTAAAAAACGTTCATTTATGAGTCACTTAGTTTCAAAGAAAAATGTTAAAATCTGAGTCCTCCCTCAAAATTTTGTCGATTTTTGAAATTCCGTTATGGCTCATCACAATTCAGTGAAATTTTTAGTACTAGTACAGCTAGTTAATCTTCATATATAGTAAAAATTTCAGAAACATCTCTCTTATTATCAGAGGTGCAGAATCTTCCCAAAAAAAAACAATTTCCCCCCGCGGGAAAATTTTTGAAAAATTTCCCCCAAGGTAAATCTTCAAAAATTCCCCAGAATTTTCAAAAATTTCCCCAAAAAATGCAGTTTTTAAAAAATTTCCCCCCCCCCCGCGCGGGGCGCATGAGGAAGATTCTGCACCTCTGCTTATTATTGAGGAGATACATGTCTCATAAGTTAAAAAAATTAAATTCCGTAACGCTTGGCTGTGCCCATATATGATTTAAATTCAATAATTATAGATGATTGTTTTAATAATTTCTAACAAATTATTTAGAGATTTCTCTGGATTTTATATGAAGATACTGATTACAGAAAATTTGATCCTATTAATGTTTAATTATGCACTTTGTTGATGGTACAGTTTCTATTGCCTATTATGTTCTTCGCTCATTCTGAATATGAATAACAACAATCAGTTTGAAAAGTTGTCTTTAAATCAATATCGTTTAATCAAGGTCGTTGTTTTTTTTTCACGTCTTGCAATACAACTTCAACGAAGAACTAGAAATTCCAGTCAGAGACCTTGTCTTAACAGTTTGATCATTAAAAAAACATATGGAACTTGTTTTTTTCTATGAAAACAAAATATTTTATCATGTCGTATTATCACATGATTTATTCTTCAATCAAAAATATTATTCATATGCAAACAATGACTATTGAAATATTTTTGTTATAGTAATAATATTAGAATTTTGAGTAATGAAAAATCGAATTTGTTACGTAATCAGTACAATTATACTCAAATAACTATTTTTATGACGAAACGATTATTTCATGCTATATAAAACTATTTAATTGAATGAACATTGTTTATATGATGATAATCGGAAAAGAATATAAACTATTTTGGTGTACACTGTTGTCTTTCTACAATCACTATAAATATGTGAACATATCATCTGACATTATTCCCGCAGTATCTTATGAATCAAGTTTTCGTATCATAGGTTTTGTGTCTGCAAAGGTAAAAAGAATCATTTCATTATATCACAACTATTTTTAAACTTTTTCATAGATTTTAGTAAATCGTAAATCCATGCATAGATGATTTTTCAAACAAGCTGTGAACTGGATTCAGCAAATACAGTCTGGTTTATTTCAATATTTAATTAGGATTTTTTTGTCACATCCCAGTCGATGATTCATCTAAAGTGAGAAATAATAATGAGTCAACTCAATATACCTTGTATATCATTTGATGAGTATCTATATATTATTATACTGTTATGAATCATTGGACGAAAAAGCAATACAGAAAAGCAAATTATTGATCATTCAAAACAAGATAGATATACATATATACACTTATACAATATTTTTTCAGTAAGTTTAGCTCTATAGAAAAAAAATGTATATGTCAATTTTTTTTAATGCAATGACTCATTTTTAAACAACTATTTTTCTTTCATTTGCTATATATGTTTGAAAAAAAAGAAACGACAAAAAAAAAGGCAATAAAAAGCCATTCATATGCTGATTTTTCTTTTTCAAATGTCTTTCCCACCTACACACTTTCAACATTAGACTGTCTTTATATACGGCATACATAATCTTACTCATTTCTTTTTAAATCAGACTTGAATTATACAAACGATGAATGAGTCACATGAATCTAATAGTAATATAAAAACAAAGAATAGGGAACAAATATATTACATATAATGTTACTATTTATGTAGAAAAAAAAGAATAGGTAACCCTCAAATACTAACGTTCTTCATTTTTTCTATTCTTACTACCTCTCATGCACAGCATCATAATTGCCCTTCAATAATAGTCAATACATACGTCTATATATTCTCATTCTTTTAATGTAATAAGAAAATTTCTCTATAGCATTTATAAAAGTAATATTATTTATTTTTATTTTTGATTTTGACATGCATATTCGATATTCGATGATGTTATATTTTCTATTAATTCTGATCGTATGTGGTGTACTAAGTGAAAAAATTGAAAAAATCACAAAATCTGTCGGACAATCATTTTCATTTGATTGTCAACAAGATGAATCGGTTTATTTTACTCAAAAATTAGATGATTGGTCAGAAATACAAGAAAATGATAATCAATATTCATATTTAAACTTAAATTTTAATTATTTAAATCAAGAAAAAATTCTTCGCGTTTCATCAAATTCAATTCAATCAGAAAATATTGGTTATTATGGTTGTCGAAAACCAACATGGTCAACAGCATCAATGAATCGTATTTATCAATTGATTGTAGCTGGTAAAATAAATTTTATATATGACTATTAACAAAAAAACTATCGTTTAGATGTACAATCATTTTATTGGAACTATATATGTCATGGAGCAGTTGGTTCATGTTTACGTTCAGATGATCCAATAGATGAAACTTTAAGTACATTTGAAGTTGCTGATCAAACAAAAGTTGATTTCTTTTGTTGTGCATCTGTTATGGGTTTTAAAAATGTAGATCTTAATATGAATCCAATAGGAGATATTCGAGGTAAAATTAATATACATCGAAGACAAGAATCAGATGGATCATGGGTTGTTTGTGCTAATCAACATACGTTCATAAAACGAACATCATCGAACAATCAACAAATATTAACATGTGAATTAATGACAGATAATCAATTAGATTCATCTCTATCTAGTGTAATTAGAGTGAAAGGTAATTTGGAACTTATTGAAAATGAATAATAAATAAGATGAAATAATTTAACTTTAGATTCTATGCCAGCTGATCCTGATATTGATACACCTTATGGTTATGTACCAACACCAAAAACTGATGATGATAAATATTTTAACAAACCAACATCAGGTGGTAAACGAGGAAAATTAACGACTGGTGTGAGCACTTTTCATTATGTGCTACAATAAAATAAACAAAATTTCTAATTATTTTTTTGTTTTATAGGAAAACGGATTCTTATTATTATTGGCTCTATTCTTGGTGGTCTCTTCTTTTTTGGATTATTGTTCTTGTTGATATTTTTCTTTTGTCGTCGTCAAAATAAAGGTATGAAATAATGAATGGAAATTTTATTCTGAAATTAATTTTTCTTTTATTTTAGCTCCAACTAAGTAAGTTTAATATATTCATATGTTTATATATAAAGATTGTTTTTCATTCTTATTTTTTATTTTCAGTTCTAAAACCAACAGTATGTATCAAATTTTGAATTTTATAAAAATGTAATTGTGTTTTTTTATTATAGTAGATACTAATCACTATGAAACAGTTAATATATATGAAAAACCAGATACAACCAAAGAACAAAATCGAAATGGTATATTTATTTATCATATTTGTAAATAATTGTTTATGATTTATGATTTTAGAAGAAGAACCTCATTATCTAGAACCAACACCATTATATCAAAATTCACCTATAGTTTTGCGACTCTAACAAAAATAGTTTTATTCCAGTGTGTTTACTAATTTTTTTTGTCTTTCATAAAAAAAAATAATCGGTATATTTTTCTATAGTTTTTTTTAAAATATAGTCTAGAACATATATATTTCTTTTGGTAATGTATCTATAAATCTATTAAAACAAAAATAAACTTCTTGACATTCAGTAACATTGAAAACTATAGTTTTCATAAATATTATATAGTAGACGTACGAAGTAAAAAGACAATTCTATTTTATGTTTTTTTAAAAAATGGTTTTATTTTGATATTATAATATTTTAAAGCTCCCGATTGCAATTGTCGAAATTTTCCTCTTAAACGTTCAACGATTTGCGCCACTTTTTCTCGAATATAAATACTATATCGTGTAAGTTCATCATATACATCTTGAAAAGAAATCCTAGTAACATTTGCAACTGTTACGTCATCAATAAATTCTATATGAGTAGGTGGTATTGTTGATCGAAGTACTAAAGAAAAATCTTATTAGAAAATTTGATGAAAATTGTTAATATCTTAATATACCAAGACTTTGACAAACTTCACATTGTTCCATGGTAATAGCATCTTCATTTTGAATAAAACACCATGGACCGTTGACATTCATATTTGGATTTCGACAATAATTTTTTGCTGCTTTAATTGATCCATCATTGAAAAAATTAGCTTTATTTATAACTTCTGGATAATCTATTTTCATATCACTCCAAGGTAAGCATTCATCTTGAAATTTTGTAAATGAATGTTTGCCATAGTAATGAAGAATACCATTTTGTGTTATACTACAATCTATTGATAAGATAAAATGAATTTTTCAATAATATTTTTTTTATTATTATTTTACCCGAAATATTCTTAGTAATAATCGATTTACTAGAAAGGTTACCAATAATAGCAATAATTGTTAATACATGTAAAAACATTTCTGTCTTTTTTTTCTTTAGATACTATCAGAAAATACACATTAGTACAAGCTATTTATATATGTATATATTTATCTTCAATGCATTATTATCTTTAAAAATATATGATATATAAAAGAGATGTCGCTAGTAAGCGATCTATGTCATTTTAATTTTTCGAAATTAAAATTCAAAAAAAAAATTCTCTTAAGTCTTAATTTCATATTTTATTCTTAAATTAAAGAAATTCAAATTTTTATAATTGAATTTTCATAGGTCAATCGATCTTCTAGATTTTCAATGATTCATATTCGTCTTAGCATCTATGTGACGTGAGTGCGTGACGTTCACATTCAACTATATTTCAAATAGTTTCTACAAAAAATGATAAAACAATCTCTTTAATGTTTTTCTTAACTAAATTCTTCTTTACATTATGAATCGCACCTCAAATAATAATTCGTATTCATCAACTAATTCAAGAATGCTACCAGCAACAGTTACTGATTGGGAGGATTTACGTAAACAAGCACGACAACTTGAAAATGAAATTGATGTTAAATTAATGTCATTTTCAAAATTATGTTCAAATTATGTTGCACGTGATCAAACATTACATCCTTCATCTTCAACATCTCCATCATCATTCGAAGCTATGTCAATTGAAATTGATAAACTTCTTGAACATTTATCGGATATAAATAAACGTATGGCTGATGCTATACCGGCATTAAGTGGACCTAATACAGCTGCAACACATACATTACAACGTCATCATGAAATTTGTCAAGATTATCGACGTGAATTTGATCGAACAAAAGCAAATATAAGAAATTTTCAAACACGTGAAGATCTTTTAATAAATAATAATCCAAGTTCTGATATCAGTACACCAGGTCTTAGTAGTCGTCGACAAGACTATTATTTACGTGAAATGGATCATTTAACAAATTCACATAAATTAATCGATGGACAATTAGATAGTATGAAAATGTTAAAAGATAATTTATTTGATCAGCGAAAATATTTTATGAATATAACACATAAAGTTAAAAATCTAACAAATCGTTTCCCATTAATGAATAATATATTACAAAAAGTAAAAATAAAAAAACGTAAAGATTCTCTTGTACTTGGTTTTGTCATTGCATGTTGTCTTATTGTTCTTTTTTTATATATGTTTCGATAAACAAAACATTCAAGAAGAAAAAAAGAAACAAGAACATTTTTTTTTCTTTCTCTTCATTTATTTATTCTTTAAAATAAAAAATAAAATAAAAAGTCAAACAAAATTCTTAATAGATTTTTCTTTCTTATAGATATGGCTAATGAACATCATCATCATTTATTATATAAGCATGCTTCACTAAGTTTATTTGAAAGTTATATTGCTATTGAAAAATTTATTATTGATACACGTTTATCATTTATTGATCAATATAAATTATTTGATTTGTTAAAAAAATTACTACCACAAGAAGATAATCATTTAACATGTCAAGGTTTTCTTTCATGGCTTGTTTGGCGTGTTGATCAACATGAAGAACAACAACATCATCAACATGATAGACAAATTAATACAAATAAAAGATTATTGAATGATAGTATGGTATCAGAGAATGTTTTTGCCAATAAAAGATTAAGAATAAGTAAGACATTATACACTTTAGTAGCATTCTGTGTTCTCTCTCACGTGCCGTTATTCTCTACTATTTATTTTATCTATAATACACTATTGAAAGACATTAATAATCCTAATTTAAGATTTTCTTTGATGATATCTTTTACTTTTTTCTCATTACATGATCTGCCCTTATATCGATACAAGAATAAAAATCCTACGTAAAATTGCCACGTGTATAGCAATTATTTTTATCTATAATATAATGAGATACTTTATCATTCAATTGTTTTCTCTATGTATTTTTAATATTAAAATATTTAGATAAATAATCGAAATTTTCTTTATTTATCTTGTTCTTTTCAAAACATATCTTGAAAGAATGTAAATTTTTGTTTATTTTATTCAACGGAAATTTATTTACTAACCTTACTTGTCAATTAATACAATAGTATTCTCGTCGGTCTGAAATAGGAATAAGATATCTTCAAACTTTTTCTATTTCTTGATTCTTTTACAAGTTTATCTCAATTTAGATCATGAAACATATTCAGAAGCAGAACCATATAATGATGTTTCTTTAGTCCATTATACTCAACAACAATTAGAGAATAATATTAATGCATCATCAGGTTAATAAAAAAATATTATTATTTTTTGATTTTATAATAGTATATTTATATTCAATTTATAGATATCCATCAACAGATAGCTCGTTTACAGTCTATTGTTCTTCGTCTTGCATCGAATATAGATACTCTCAATCATCAATCTGATATTCATAATTCACCACCATCATTTTCTGAATCAAATATAAAACATGAACATATAGATGATGTAAGCAAAAATTCTTCATATAAATAATCAATAATCAATTTTATTATAGACTGAACCTTCAGAACTTGAAATCGAAGAGGATCAGGAAGAGGATGAAACATCAGATATTACTCAACGATTAGATCTTCCAGCTAGTACATCAACGAACCTGACATATACAATGCATCCAATTCCTACAAATACTATTGTAAATTAATTTTAAACTATAAGATTATATCTAATTTTTATTTTAACCAGATATATAATGGACGAAATATGATGAAACATCTTCGACGACGAACAACTCTGACTAGTTTTGCTCGCCATGTTGCAAGTGATCTTTTTTCTCGAGATGAAATCATGGCGAAATTACATGTTGACCATAATAATGAACGTGATATTTTTCTTCGACGTAGGAAAATTTATTTTCTTCATTCTACTTGTATACATTTACTATTATTTTATTAGATTGCATATGTACAGCATGGAATTTAACTGAACAGGAACTTTATTTAATGTGGCCAAAAATCCGTAATGCTTTATTACAACTTCGTCGTGACGCAATTGCTGGTAAATGTATTCGAATGAATAGTAAACGAAAGCAGCAACAGCAACAACAAATACAGCAACAACAATCATCAAATCATAATGAATGCAATAGCGAAGATGATGATGACGATGATGTTGACAATCAAATAAAGTCCGACTTATGTAGATAATTTGTAGTTTAAGAAAGAAAAAAAACAAATATTATACAATAAATTTGTTATGTGTAGTATTTTCTTACTGGTTTTGGATTTTAGATGAAAATAAAAAAATAAAATAAATGCGTTTATCATGGATTTTAAATGCAACAAAAAACGGTCGACAGTTACTTGTGAATCACAAGCAACAGGACATCGAATAATGCGTATTCGT